GCGACCCGACCCCGGATAGGCGGAAGAAGATGGATGGATGGATGGATGGATGGATGGATGGAAATACGTTCAGGTCACAAGTTTTCATTTCTCATTCATGATCAGGGTGGGTATTTCATTATTGTCTGGGATTTCATAATGCAAGATCTTGAGGGATTATTTTGTGAGATTGGGCTGGTCCTAATTTCATAGGGTGGTCTCTTACACTCTCAATCTCTCTTTCTCTCCATTGATCAGTCTCTCTCTCTCTCAATCTCTCTCTCTGTCTCTATATCTCTATCTCTCTCTCTATCGATCTCTCCCTCTCAATCTCTCTCTATCGATCTCTCTCTCTCGATCTCTCTCTCGATATTTCTCTCTCTATCTCTCTCAATCTCTCTCTCTCGATCAATCTCTCTCTTGATCTTTGTTTCTCTCTCTTTCTCGATATGTCTCTCTCTCTCTCTTTCTCTCTCTTTCTCGATCTGTCTCTCTCTCTCTTTCTCGATCTCTCTCTCTTGATCTGTCTCTCTATCTTACGATCTCTCTGTCGATCTATCTCTCTCGATCTCTCTCTCGATCTATCTCTCTCSATCACTCTCTCAATCTGGTGATCTATCTCGATCTCTCAATCTCTTGATCTCTCTCGATCTCTCGATCTCTCTCTGTCTCTATATTTCTCTCACTCTATGTCTCTCTCTCAATCTCTCTCTCAATCTCTCTCGATCTCTCAATCTCTCTCGATCTCTCTCTCAATCTCTCTTTCTCTTTCTCAATCTCTCTCTTGATCTCTCTCTCTCTCTCTCTCTCGATCTGTCTCTCTCTCCATTGATCAGTCTCCATCTCTCTCAATCTCTCTCTATCTCTATTTCTCTATCTCTCTCTCTATCTCACTCTATCTCTCGATCTCTCTCTCTCTCTCTCTCTCTCTCAATCTTTCTCTCTCAATCTCTCTTGATCTCTCTCTCTCGATCGATCTCTCTCTTTATCCATCTCTCTCTCTCTCGATCACTATTGATCTCTCTCTCGATCTCTCTCTCTCGATCTCTCTGTCGTTCTCTTTATCTCTCTCTCGATCTCTCGATCTCTCTCGGTCTCTCTCTCGATCTCTCTCTCTCTCAATCTCTCTCTCTCTCAAACTCTCGATTTCTCGATCTCTCTCTCGATCTCTCTCTCTGTATTCCTCTCTCGGTCTCTCTCGATCTCTCTCTCTGTCTCTCGATCTCTCTCTCTGTCTCTCTCTTTATCTCTCTCTCGATCTCTCGATCTCTCTTGGTCTCTCTTGATCTCTCTCTCAATCTCTCGCTCAATCGCACTCTCAATCTATCTTGGTCTCTCTCTCGGTCTCTCTCTTAATCTCTCTATCTATCTCTTGCTCAATCTCTCCCTCAATCTCTCTTAATATTTCTCTCGATCTCTTGATCTCTCGATCTCTCTATCTCTATCTCTCTCTCTCTCTCTCTCTCTCTCTCTCTCTATCTTTCAATGTCTCTCAATGTCTTTCAATCTCTCTCTCTCTCTCGCTCTCTCACTTTCTCTCTCTCTCTCTCCACTGATCTGTCACTCTCTCCATTGACCTGTCTCTCACTCTCTATCGCTCTCTCTCTATCTGTCGATCTCTCTCGATCTCTCTCTCTCTATTACTCTCTCTCGATCTCTCCTCTTTCTCTCTCTCTCTCTCTTGATCTCTCCCTCGATCTCTCTCTCTCTCTCTATCTCTCTTGATCTCTCTCTCTCGGTCTCTCTATGTCTCTCGGTCTCTCTCTCTCTCGATCTCTCTCTCTCGATCTCTCTCAGTCTCTCTCTCTCTAGATGATCTCTCTCTATCTCTCTCCCTCGATCCCTCTCTCAGTCTATCTGGATCTCTCTCGATCTCTCTCTATCTCTCTCTTGATCTCTCTATCTCTCTCTTGATCTCTCTATCTCTCTCTTGATCTCTCTTTATCTCTCTCGCTACTTCTTTTGATTTCTCTATCTCAATCTCTCAATGTCTCTCGATCTCTCTCTCTATCTCTCTCGATCTCTCTCTTGATCTCTCTTTATCTCTCTCTCGATCTCGCTTTATCTCTCTCTCTATCTCTTTTGATCTCTCTCTCTATCTCTTTTGATCTCTCTCTCTCAATCTCTCAATCTCTCAAGATCTCTCTCTCTATCTCTATCTCTTTCGATCCCTCTCTCAACCTGTCTCGATCTCTTTCTCTCTTGATCTCCCTCTCTCTTGATCTCTCAATCTCTCTCAGTCTCTCTCTGTCTCTTTCTTCATCTCTCTCTCGATCTCTCTCAATCTCTCTCTCAATCTCTCTTTCAATCTCTCTATCTCTCGATCTCTCTCGGTCTCTCTCTCAATCTCTCTCTCTTTCGAACTCTCGTCTCGATCTCTCTCTCTCTTGATCTCTCTCTCTGTATCACTCTATCGGTCTCTCTCGATCTCTATCTCTTGATCTCTCTCTCTGTCTCTCTCTTTATTTCTCTCTCGTTCTCTCGATCTCTCTCGGTCTCTCTCTCGATCTCTCTCTCAATCTCTCTTTCTATCTCTTGCTCAATCTCTCACTCAATCTCTCTCAATATTTCTCTCGATCTCTTGATCACTTGATTTCTCTCTCTATATATCTCTCTCAGTCTCTCTCTCTATCTCTCAATCTCTCGATCTCTCGATCTCTCGATCTCTCTCGATCTCTCTCTTTCTCTTTCGATCACTCTCTCTCAATATCTCTCTCTCTCAATCTCTCTCTCTCTCGATCTCTCTCTCTCTTTCTAAATCTGTCTCTACCTTTCAATCTCTCTCTCTTGATCTCTCTCTCTCTCAATCTGTTAATCTCTCTCGATCTCTCAATATCTTGATCTCTCTTGATCTCTCTCTGTCTCTATATTTCTCTCTCTCTCGATGTCTCTCTCTCAATCTCTCTCTCTCTATCTCTCTCTCGATCTCTCTCTCAATCTCTCTCTCTCTTTCGTGATCTCTCTCTCGATCTCTCTCTCTCTCTCTCTCTCTCGATCGGTCTCTCTCTCCATTGATCAGTCTCCATCTCTCTCAATCTCTCTATCTCTATATCTCTATCTCTTAATCTCTCTTTCTCGATCTCTCTCGCGATCTTTCTCAATCTCTCTCTCTATCTCTCTCTCAATCTCTCTCAATCTGTCCCTCTCTCTTTCTCTCGATCTGTCTCTCTCTCCATTGATCAGTCTATCTCTCTCAATCTCTCTCCATCTCTATATCTCTATCTCTCTCTCTCTATCTCTCAATCTCTCTATATCGATCTCTCTCTCTCGATTTCTCTCTCGATCTTTCTCTCTCGATCTCTCACAATCTCTCTTGATCTCTCTCTCTCGATCGAACTCTCTCTTTATCCATCTCTCTCTCGATCTCTTGATCTCTCTCTCTCTATCTCTCTCTCAATCTGTCTCTCTCTCTCGATCTGTCTCTCTCTCCATTGATCATTCTCTCTCTCTCTATCTCTCTATCGATCTMTCTCTCTCGATCTCTCTCTATCAATCTCTCTCTCTCGATCTCTCTCTCGATCTTTCTCTCTCGATCTCTCTCAATCTCTCTTGATCTCTCTCAATCTCTCTTGATCTCTTTCTCTCGATCGATCTCTCTCTTGATCTTTCTCTCTCTCTCTTTATCAATCTGTCTCACTCTCTCTTTCTCGATCTCTCTCTCTCGTTCTCTCGATCGATCTCTCTATTTCGATCTCTCTCTCTCTCAGTCTCTCTCGTTCTCTCTCTCTCGTTCTCTCTCTCTCTCTATCTGTGTGGATATCTCTCAATCTCTCTCAATCTCTGTCTCTCGGTCTCTCTTGATGTCTCGATCTCTCTCTCGATATCCCTGTCTCTCAATCTCTCTCTCTATCTCTCTCTCTCTCGATCTCTCTCTCTCTCTCAATCTCTCTCTCTCTCCCTCGATGTCTCGATCTCTCTCTCTCTCTCTCTCGATCTTTCTCTCTGTATTCCTCTCTCGTTCAATCTAGATCTCTCTCTCAACATCTCTCAATCACTATCGATCTCTCTCTGTCTCTCTCTTTATCTCTCTCTCGATCTCTCGATCTCTCTCGGTCTCTCTCTCAATCTCTCTCTCAATCTCTCTCATCTCTCGATCTCTCTCGGTCTCTCTCTCGATCTCACTCTCTCTCTATCTCTCTCTCTCTCAAACTCTCGATGTCTCGATCTCTCTCTCTCTCAATCTCTCACTCTGTATCCCTCTCTCGGTCTGTCTCAATCTCTCTCTCAACATCTCTCGATCACTATCGATCTCTCTCCCGATCTCTCTCTCTCTATCTCTCTGTCTCTCTCTTTATCTCTCTCTCGATCTCTCGATCTCTCTCGGTCTCTCGCTCAATCTCTCTCTCTCTCAATCTCTCTCTCTGTCGAACTCTCGATTTCTCGATCTCTCTCGATCTCTCTCTCTGTATCCCTCTCTCGGTCTCTCTCAATCTCTCTCTCTGTCTCTCTCTTATTCTGTCTCTCGATCTCTTGATCTCTCTTGGTCTCTCTTGATCTCTCTCTCAATCTCTCGCTCAATCGCACTCTCAATCTCTCTCGGTCTCTCTCTCGATCTCTCTCTTAATCTCTCTATCTCTTGCTCAACCTCTCCCTCAATCTCTCTCTCAATATTTCTCTCGATCTCTCTCTCTCTCTCTATGTCTCTCTCTCTCAATCTCTCTCTCTCGATCTATCTGGATCTCTCAATCTCTCTCTATCTCTCGCTTGATCTCTCTTTATCTCTCTCGCTATCTCTTTTGATTTCTCTATCTCAATCTCTCAATGTCTCTCGATCTCTCTCTCTCTAACTCTCTCTATCTCTCTCGATCTCTCTCTCTCTCTAGCTCTCTCGATCTATCTGGATCTCTCTCAATCTCTCTCTATCTCTCTCTTGATCTCTCTATATCTCTCTCGATCTCTCTTTATCTCTCTCTCAATCTCTTTTGATCTCTCTCTCTCTCAATCTCTCAATCTCTCACGATCTCTCTCTCTCTATCTCTATCTCTTTCAATCTCTCTCTCAACCTCTCTCGATCTCTATCGAACTCTCTCTCTCTCAATCTCTTTCTCTCTCGATCTACCTCTCTATTGATCCCTCGATCTCTCTCAGTCTCTCTCTGTCTCTTTCTTTATCTCTCTCTCGATCTCTTTCAGTCTCTCTCTCGATCTCTCTTTCAATCTCTCTCTCTATCTCTCGATCTCTCTCGGACTCTCTCTCGATCTCTCTCTCTCTCAATCTCTCTCTCTCTCGAACTCTCGTTTTCTCGATCTCTCTCTCTGGATCTCTCTCTCTGTATCACTCTCTCGGTCTCTCTCGATCTCTCTCTCTTGATCTCCCTCTCTGTCTCTCTCTTTATCTCTCTATCTYTCTCTCAATCTCTCTCTCTATCTCTCTCAATCTCTCTATCTCTCGCGCAATCTCTCTCAATATCTCTCTCGATCTCTCTCTCAATTTCTTTCGGTCTMTCTCTCGATCTCTCTCTTGATATCTCTATCAATCTCTTGCTCAATCTCTCACTCAATCTCTCTCTCAATATTTCTCTCGATCTCTTGATCTCTTGATCTCTCTCTATATATATCTCTCTCAATCTCTCTCTCTATCTCTC